AGACAAATAATAATTCACAAGCAGGAAATATCCCAAACAGCTCTTCCCCTGAAATATACTCGGAGTCGAGAGTGGATTTCATGCTCTGTAATCTGTTGTGACGTGGGGTTTGTGATTTCAGCTCTCTTGACATATATGCTGGAGACAGTTCTCTAGGTAACACTTCTTTATTACAGCAAACAAGACTAAGACCTGAGGAGGGGAGAGCTACATATGATAGGGACAGAGAACTAGCTATAAAGGATACATTTTGGAGGGAACAATATCAGGCAATCACAGTCCCTAGCCTTTTGGAGGAAACCAATAAGACAGAGGATCCAAATACAGCAGCTTAAATGAACCAATAGTAGGCTGTACCCTCTGGAACCAAAAGGCAGTTACTTTACACTAATGCACATACAGACAATAATACTACAGATTATAAAATCCTTTGACTCAATACACAACACCCCTCCCCCCCTAGTGAGCACAGCAGACGTAATCTCTCAGGTACTGTGGGGTCCTACAACTTTCTACTTGATCTCCTGACAGACAGGTGTTGCCGGTTTCTGGATTGGGTGTTACCCTGTGGTAGGGGGGCTGCTATAGGGGTTTCGTCAGGAACAGATGGAGTCCCAGACATCTCAGGGTCCCCTACCTGTACCTCGGTCATCCTGAGGACTAGCAGACCCTGGTTCATTTGCTGAAGCCCCTGGTGACTGCGCCTCTGGGCCATTCTTCACTCTGGTCTTGCAGCTCTGCGTCGTTAGCCTGGGATGAATTATCTGACTCCTCCCTGCTGGAGCGCCCGGCGCCTCAGCTGATCTATATGTCTCTTCCAAACTTGCCCATTTTCCAAGGTCACATAATAGGACACAGGTCCACTAGTCCGGCGTGACCACACCACCCACCCACCACGAACCTCGTGAATAGTTCCTCACCCAGACCCAGATCTTCAGGGGCGAGATTACCCTTGTTGTGGTCAGTCTCAGCCTGGGGGGCTTGCTCTTGAATTACGGTTTGGCATTTTATCCGGGTGGACATAATCCAGCACCGTTACCAGTTCTTCTACCCAAGAGCAGCTCAGCTGGCGATTTGCCCGTCGGCAGTGCACGGCGTCGCATGCTGCAAAAATAACATTCGCGCGATGCGAGCTGACCAGTTTACCCTCCATTAAGCGCACAATGGATTCTTTGGCTGTTCTTACCATGCGCTCAGCCTGCCCATTGGTAGGCATGGGTGAAAGGGCCGCGGATGTGACCCCTCGTTATGAAGTTATCAGCCAAGAATGCCCTGAATTCTTGGGATACAAAAGCTGCCCCATTATCTGATACAATGGTCTCAGGTAACCCGTGGGTTGCAAACAGCTGCCTCAACACCTTGATTACGGCAGCTGATGCCCATGCTAGGACCATCGCCCACTTCTAACCATTTAGAATTATGCATCGCACGATAACCAAAAAGACCTTCCCCTGGAATGGCCCAGCAAAATCTAAGTGCAGCCGGCTCCAGGGAGATCTGGAGCTGCTCCCACCAGTGAACTGGAGCTCTGGCCACTTCTGGCCGCACCTCTTGGCATGCCTTGCATGTTCGTTACCCATTGTTTTATGTTCTGGTCCATTCCAGGCCACCACACATAACATCGGGCTAGCGACTTCATCCTGACCATTCCCGGCGGTGTCCCATGTGAAGCGTCTCAAGAACCCTGTTTCTCAGTGGTGCTGGGATGATCACCCTATCTCCCCCACAGGAGACAACCCTTATGCAAGGACAACTCGTGCTGCCTTGTCGCATAAGGGCCTGAATTTGTCTTCATGCGGACCACCTGGCCACCCCCTCCCCACCCAAGTGAGGACACGGGAGAGAACAGCATCTTTCCTCCTTTTCTCAGCTATATCAGTAGCCGTTACAGGAGCCCCCGGAAGTGTTTCCAGCATCATTATGTGCTCCGCTGGAGCAGGATCCTCATTGCTCCCGCCAGGAAGTGGCAATCGACTCAGCGCATCAGCGTGGCACAACCGTTTCCCCGGCACACTGGGTCAAGGTGTACTGGAACCCGATTCAGGAATATAGACCAACGCAACATTCTGGGGGAGAGAATTTGTGGCGTTTGCTTGTCTCGGGTTGAACAACCCTAACAGTGGTTTGTGGTCCGTTTCAATGGAGAAATGGCGACCGTACACATAATCATGGAACTTTTTGATTCCTGCCACAATTGCAAGCGCCTCTTTGTCAATTTGAGCATAGTTGCGCTCCGTGGGCGACAACGTACGGGAATAGAAGAGATGGGCTTTTCCGACCCATCCGGTTCCCTATGGACTCAGCACCGCCCCCAGGCCCGTTATGAGAGCATCACATGCCAGGACCAGCGGCTTCAACTCCATCATAATGAGCAAGGACGCTCCTGCTACTCAGCATTCCTCGCAAGGAGCAAAAGCCTTCTGCTGCCCCTGCCCCATCGCCACACATTCTTTGTTCTGCAACCCAGTCTATGTAATGGCTCAGCTACCGAAGCTTTCTGTGGTAAGAACGAATGATAAAAGTTAATAAGTCCCCAGGAATGACTGCAAGCTCCGTCTTGTTCTGTGTCATGGTGCCTCGCTGGATGGCCTTAATCTTAGGCATCTGTCTGGGGTGTGATGCCTGATGCTGATTCAATTTTTAAACCCCAAGAAATCCACAGTTTGGCACCCCAAAACTGCATTTTTCCTTTTTCAGTGCAACCCCACCTCCTTGAACTTGAGCAACACTGCACGGACACGCGCAAACCAGTTCCTGTGGGTCTTTTCCAGCAATCCAAAACGTCATCAAAAAATGGCAAGACCCCTGGCAGACCTCTTAACAGGCGTTCCATGAGCCCTTGAACAAATCCCTGGGGCCACATCAAGACTCCAAATTGTAATCTGTTAACTCTGAAGGCCCCTTTGGTGTGTGACAATAGTCTGTGCTTCCGCTGATTGTGGGGTTACTGGCAGCTGTTGGTAAGCTTGTGCCAGGTCAATTTTGGACGAACACCTTGCCCCAGCCAGTTTAGCCAACAGATGTGATACGACTGGAATGGGGTATGAGTTTCCCCTGAGTGCCTTATTGATAGTACATTTGTAATCTGCACAGATCCTGACTTCCCCCATTTGCTTTAAGGGGTGTGTGACGATTGGAGTCTCCCACTTAGCAGAGTCCACGGGTGAGAGAACTCCCTGCTTGACCAATTTATCCAGCTCTGCTTCGATCTTGGGTTGCAGTGCAAATGGCACTCGCCTTGGTTTGAGTCGGATTGGGGCCACCCCAGGGTCCAATTTGAAGTCAACTGGGGGCCCTTTATAACAACCCAGTTTTTCATTTAAGAGACCAGCAATTCTTTGCATAATGCCTTGCTCATCTCAGGCCAGGTTTGGATGAATTAAGCCCTGGTATACTCAGTCCCAGGGCGGGGAGCCAGTCAGTGCCCAGGAGACTGGCAGCGACTGCCCTTCGCAATCACCAGTTTGAGTACCACCTGTTTGTCCCGGAACTGTACTCTCACGGCACAGATTCCCATGACGTGGATGCGGCCCCGCTGAGTATGACTGCAAAGTTGCCGGAAGGGCTCCAGAGGGGGGCAACTTCCCTGGGGAAGAATGTCCTCGCGGTCTGGTCCGACACGATAGTGAATCCAGATCCGGAGTCCACCGCTCCATGTCCGCACAGCTGACCCTCAATCTTCACCTTGACATGTGCCTGTTGCCTTGCGCTGGAAACTGCACGACCCTCCCGTTGATCTCCGTTACGTAGTGGCAGTCCTTTAGAACATTGGTTTGCTGTGGGCGGTCTGGCGATGCTCCCAGTCTAGGTGCTCCTGTCGCTCCCAACGCCGCCGATCTACAGACCCTGGCCGATGTGACCTGTCTTCCCGCACGTCCGGCACATAGCATCCCCGGAAAACGACAACTCTTCACGCTCATGGTTTCCGCCACAACCAGGGCACCTGCCTCGTGATCTTTGTGCACTGTGCAGGCCTGACGCACTGACTCGACCCCACGGACTGGGCTTCTGGCTCGGAGTAGCCTCTAGCTCGTCCATGGCATGCACAACTTCTATCTGTGGCTTAGGGGCCTTGCGACTGGCATCAAAGCTCCTCTCTTTCATAATTCTCCGTGGCGGTGGCCTCCCTTCAAGGCTGACGCAAGGGTAACCTCTTCTTAGCCATGATGCGTCTTCTGGCTTTCTTGCTGCTCAGACCACCGATAAACCGATCCAGGAGAGTCTCTTCCAGATCTTGGAAGTCGCAGTGCTGAGCGAGCTTCCGCAGTTCAGCTAGAAATGCAGATACAGACTCCCCAGCACGCTGCTGCCTCTTATGAAACTCCATCCGCCAGGCCATCTTGGTCTCAGTAGGCGCCAAACTGGCTTGTTAGGCAGGCAAGAATATCTTTGAGAGGTGTCTCACTTAGCTTTGCTGGAGCAAGCAATGCCTTGGCCAGCTTGAAGATCTCAGGCCCACAGTAGGCTCAGGAATGTGGCCCTTCTTTTGCTGGCATCGGTGATCCCTTGAGCCACTGCGAAGAAACTCGAAGCGTTCGACGTAGTCTTCCCACGTGTGGGGCTCTGATGGCTGGAAGGGCTCCAATACCCTTGGACTCTCCATTGTCCTGTGGGCAGGGTCGTCTTCTCAGCTGGCCAGTGAGTCTTGTTCTTAGCTACAATCCGGACTCTGAGTCAGGGCTGCGTTTAACGCTCCTCAGCATTCCGGATCCCACCTTCGTCGCCCAGTTGTTGTGACGTGGGGTTTGTGATTTCAGCTCTCTTGACATAATATGCTGGAGACAGTTCTCTAGTAACACTTCTTTATTTAAGCAAACAAGACTAAGACCTGAGGAGGGAAGAGCTACATTTATAGGGACAGAGAACTAGCTATAAAGGATACATTTTGGAGGGAACCATATCAGGCAATCACAGTCCTGCCTTTTGGAGGAAACCAATAAGACAGAGGATCCAAATACAGCAGCTTAAATGAACCAATAGTAGCTGTACCCTCTGGAACCAAAAGACAGTTACTTTACCCTAATGCAAATACAGACAATAATAATAATACAGATATAAAATCCTTTGACTCAATACACAACAGTAGTGTTGAGGGAATAGGAGAATCTGGTCATAAAAAAATGTGCCATTACATCTGAAGGGCCGTAAACTGGAGAACCCCCTCTCCTAGCGTGTTCTGAGGGTACAACCCATAGGGATATTGCTGAAGTTCTGCAGCGTGTGTGTCTTATCAGAGACCAGATGAGGGACCAGCTGAGAGGCATCCTCAGTTCCACAGAAGAAGGGTGAGATAAGCCAAAACATATTATTGTGGCCATGATAACTTGAAACTTGATCTCTGCTCTTCAGGTGTTGTTTTTTCACATGGTGAAAACTGGAAAGCGATGCGGCGGTTCTCACTAAGCACATTACGGGACTATGGCATGGGGAAAAGGTCCATAGAGGACAGAATTGTGGAAGAATGCAGTGTCCTGATTAAGACATTTGAATCTTACCAAGGTGGGTTAGTGTTTCCCTCTACTGCTCCAGGGCAAAACAACACCACATTAGATGCCCACAATATTGTGTAATATACATATTGCTAACTCTCAGAACTATAGTAACCATGATTCCCTGTGAAGAAGTAACCAATCTGCAGTGTTCAGGTCAGTGTGAGGTAATGCTGGCCTCTGTCCCTCTTTCCTGTCCTTCCTCCTATGATTCCCTCTCACATCTCTGCCTCCCAAAGGCTTGCACAGCTGTTTGTTGCAGCAGCCCTGGCTACAAGTTCCCCAAGTGAACGGTGCCTTTGTGGCTGGCCAGGGGGTGCTGGTTCCCAGGGGCTGATGTGGTTCAGCCAGTCCACCAGCCCTTGATGTTGGTAATGGACAGGCAAGTGGGAGGCTGGACAGGCAGGCACTGCACTGGCCTTTATTGAGCTTGCTGTGTGCAAGGCCTGCCTGGGAGCTGAGTGTACAGCGCCGAAGGGAGCCTTTTCCCCATTCAGGCCTGGTGGCGCCCACTGCTACCACTGCTGTCTCCCAAGGCATGTAAAGGTGCTGGCTTCACATTCACCTTCGTCCTGTCTCCGTCAGGCCACTAAGGCTGGGGCATTGTCTTCCTAGGCCCTTGTGGGGCAGCATGAGGAGGCACCTCTCTTTGGGGCAGGGGGTGGCTCAGAGACCAGGGGTGGCTGTGGCGGCTGCCTGGAATGTTTAGATTCCACCTAAACATTAGGAAGAACTTCCTGACAGTAAGAGCTGTTCGACAGTGGAATTTGCTGCCAAGGAGTGTGGTGGAGTCTCCTTCTTTGGAGGTCTTTAAGCAGAGGCTTGACAACCATATGTCAGGAGTGCTCTGATGGTGTTTCCTGCTTGGCAGGGGGTTGGACTCAATGGCCCTTGTGGTCTCTTCCAACTCTATGATTCTATGATTCTAGAGGACTCCCAAGGAGAGCGGAGAGGAGAAGAGGCTGAGGGAACACTTCATGAGGGAGGGTGTTTGGAAAAGTGTGAGAGGCCGCCGGCTTTGCAGGCAAGGGGTGACATAACTGGCTCCTGAGGCTTGGAGTGCATTTGCCCCACAGGAAAACCATAGAAAGAATGTAGCTGGTCAAGGGAGTCATGGACTCAAAAAGGATGAAGACCTCTGCTTAGGTATATACTGCCCATGACTCTTTTTAGAGTTGCTTAACTCAGATATTTTCAAGTACACCAGAATTTAGGATCAGTTTCTAAGATAAATGTGCTCTATACATTGGTAGGAACCTAACACAGAGAAGAGCTATTCTAATTGGTATTTTATCTGAACATCGTTTAATATTTATGTATAGGACAACCTTTTGAAACCACCACAATTATTAATGCCGCTGCTGCGAATATCATAGTGTCCATCCTACTAAACAAGCGATTTGAATACGAAGATTCCACATTTAGAAAGCTTCTGAAGTTGGTCAATGAAAATGTCCGGCTTTTTGGAAGCCCCTCTGTCATGGTAATCTAAGCTTTTTCAAATGGAAAAGAAATAGTTGGTTGTATTCACTGAATACTCAATGTGTGTGCAATTCCATATTGTTCAGGATTCACTTAAAAACTCATTTTGAGAAATATGAGTCGCTTTCAGACCATTTTAAAAAAGCAGTCTTCCCCCCATTTATTATTTTCATTCATATAATTGGATATTCTGCTTAAAATATAATAGCTAGATAACTTAAACCATAATTGACTTTTTGTATACAGTATTGATGCCCTTGGCCACTTCTGGTTGACCTCTATCTAGGTGCTTGTCCACATCTGAGCAAACTGCTAATCCACAAGTACAAGGGGGCTCCATAACTACAACAGCACATAAGAAAATGGCCTTCAGCCTTGGCCTCTAAGGGATATTGACTCAACGTTGCTCCAACCCAAATACATTATTGTTCTGTGTCATTGTTTATTCCTCTGTGGAAGATGAGATATTTGGAGTACCACCTGAGAATTAAGCACTGGGCTTTTCTCTTTGTCGTATTTTATCTTTACAGCTGTATAATATATTTCCTGCTCTTGGCTCGCTTTTGGGAGCCCGTAAAACTATCCTTCACAACAGAGATGAGATCCAGGCCTTCATAAATGCCACCTTCATACAACACCTCAGAGATCTGGATGAAAATGACCAAAGGAGCTTCATTGATTCATTTCTTCTGAGACAGCAAGAGGTAATGGAGTCTTTTAAGCCCACCAATAATTTTTTTTTATATTTTCAAATGTTAATAATAATAATATAAAGCTTTGGCTAATATCTGGAGTCTGTGACCTGATAGCTTGCAGGGCTGTTTTCCACTCGGACTCCCACTCCTCTCAAAAGACAAAGAAAAAAACCACCTTTGAGATACAGTAGTTCAGTTGGTTGGAACACGTTGCTGCGTACGCCAAGGTTGCAGATTCGATCCCTGTAAGGGACAGCTGCAGTCCTACACTGCAGATGTTTGGAACAGGTGATCCTCAGGGTCCTTCCAACTCTATGATTCCATGATTCCATGACTAGTCCAACACATCATGCTCCCCCCCCTTCAGTTTTTCTTTTGCACCATGCTCCTTTCTTCAGCCTGTGGCATGCTTTCATGGAGAAAAGAGATTTGAGTGTGCTGGCTGTGTACGATTTTTCTGCTTTCCTAGACAGCTTCTCTGCTCTTTCCACTCCAGTGAGTGCCCTCCCAGCCCTTGGCTAGCTACTTTGATATCTGCACATGGAATTTGCTCGTCACCTTGTTACAGCCAATTCTTTATCTTTACACCCCAGGAGAAGGACAAGCTGAATGGATATTTCAACACTGAAAACTTAAAAGCAGTTGTGAGTAACTTATTTTCTGCTGGCACAGAGACCACTGCTATCACACTGCGCTGGGGACTGTTACTAATGATGAAATATCCTGAAATTCAGAGTGAGTGCTTTTCATTGGGTTGGCTCCCATTACCCTAGCTAGCATATCTTGATTCCAGTTATAGATAACTATCTGGGGGCCCGGGAAGCTGGGGGGCTGAGCCCCACAATTCTCAATGAGGAGGACGGCCCCCCTCAATATTCCACAACCAGGTGGGCCTTGTTGGGCCTCGTTTCAATGTGTGACATCACACATGTCAGCCCCCCCCCCCAATGTTGGGTGTAATCATGTTGGGTGTTTCTGACTTTCACATCCTACATAACTATAAGCAAATTGTATATTTCCACTAATATTCTCAGGTGCATAGCGTCTTCCACAATTTTGCATTATGTTGTGAGATTGTGCTCATAGATCAGGCAGTCCCATTGCATAATTACCTGTCAGTTACTCCAGGAAATGTGAAGATATGAGTTGGTGGCAAAAATAAGCTTTTGAGTTTGGCATTTGGGGGGTGGGGACAAAAAAAAACCCACCAATGAGTTTATTTTAACAAAAAAATTCCCCCTCCACTGCCCCCAGGTAAGGTCCAAGAAGAAATTGCAAAGGTAGTTGGATCTTCTCAACCAAGGATTGAGCACCGAACGAAAATGCCATATGTAGATGCAGTGATCCATGAGATCCAGAGATTTTCTGACGTTAGCCCAACAAATCTGCCACATGCAACCACTGTGGATGTTACCCTCAAAGGCTACTTCATTCCAAAGGTAACCACTTTGATTAAACTGCATTCTTTGCTCAGCTGACTGCGATCAATTTCTTCATTAATTAGGACATTGGAGCCCCAGTTCCCTAGTCTGGGCCTACTTGCTTCTTCCTTCCTCGCTGCATACAGGTCTTTATTGAGTTATCCCAGAAAAGTTGGGCAAGGGGCTCAGTCAACTATTCTCTTAGTCCAGTCCAGTTCTGCTGGATCTCTCAGCGGCCTTTGACACCATCGACCACAACATCCTTCTGGACTGTCTAGAGGGGCTGGGAGCTGGGGTCATTGTTATTCGGTGGTTCCACTCCTTCCTCCTGGGCCGTGTCCAGAAAGTGGTGTTGGGGGATGAGTGTTCAGACCCCTGGGCTCTCACTTGTGGGGTGCCTCAGGGTTCCATCCTCTCCCCCATGCTTTTTAATATCTATATGAAGCCGCTGGGAGAGATCATCAGGGGGTTTGGGCTGGGTGTTCATCAGTATACAGATGACACCCAGCTCTACCTCTCCTTTAAATCAGAACCAGTGAAGGCGGTGAAGGTTCTGTGTGAGTGCCTGGAGGCGGTTGGAGGATGGATGGTGGCTAACAGATTGAGGTTGAATCCTGACAAGACAGAAGTACTGTTTTTGGGGGACAGGGGGCGGGCGGGTGTGGGGGATTCCTTGGTCCTGAATGGGGTAACTGTGCCCCTGAAGGACCAGGTGTGCAGCCTGGGAGTCATTTTGGACTCACAGCTGTCCATGGAGGCGCAGGTTAATTCTGCGTCCAGGGCAGCTGTCTACCAGCTCCACCTGGTATGCAGGCTAAGACCCTACCTGCCCGCGGACTGTCTCACCAGAGTGGTGCATGCTCTAGTTATCTCCCGCTTGGACTACTGCAACGCGCTCTACGTGGGGCTACCTTTGAAGGTGACCCGGAAACTGCAATTAATCCAGAATGTGGCAGCTAGACTGGTGACTGGGAGTGGCCGCCGGGACCACATAACACCGGTTCTGAGAGATCTGCATTGGCTCCCAGTACGTTTCCGAGCACAATTCAAAGTGTTGGTGCTGACCTTTAAAGCCCTAAACGGCCTTGGTCCAGTATACCTGAAGGAGCGTCTCCACCCCCATTGTTCTGCCTGGACACTGAGATCCAGCGCCGAGGGCCTTCTGGCGGTTCCCTCATTGCGAGAAGTGAGGTTACAGGGAACCAGACAGAGGACCTTCTCAGTAGTGGCGTCCACCCTGTGGAACACCCTCCCTTCAGATGTGAAGGAAATAAGTAGCTATCCTATCTTTAAAAGACATCTGAAGGTAGCCCTGTTCAGGGAAGTTTTTAATATTTAAGGCTGTATTGTTTTTAATACTTGATTGGGAGCCGCCCAGAGTGGCTGGGGAAACTCAGCCAGATGGGCAGGGTATAAATAATAAATTATTATTATTATTATTATTATTATTATTATTATTATTATTATTATTATTATCATCATCATCATCATCATCATTATGACTGTTTAAGGAGCTAATGGTATATAATCTCTGGTTTATAATGCAGATTGTTTCTTGCTTTTTTAAAAAAAGACATTGAGGACTATACCATAACGATTTGCTTGATGGGCCATATCCATTTTTTAAATAACTCTTGCTTTTCCTTTGCAGGGGACTCACATCATGCCACTACTGACCTCCGTGCTGCACGATGAATCTCAGTGGGAAAAGCCATACCAATTCTATCCTGAGCACTTTCTTGACTCTGAAGGAAAGTTCATAAAGAGAGATGCATTCATGCCTTTCTCTGCAGGTAACTCATTTTCTGTCTATTTATACATATCCAATGTGAGCTTAATGAACAGGCCATCCTAAGTATATTAACATAAAATAAAACTTGGATGGAAGACAGAATCCCAAACTTTGGAGTACTTATATCTGTCATTTAGAACTGCAATAAGATACGCAACATTATTCCTTTTCAGTAGGGCAACTTCTGGGCCAGTGGCCAAATGGGACTCTTCAAGGCTCTCTAACCACCCTCAGAACTTGGCTTTCAGTGGACCTGCTCTGTGTTCCCCGCGTGGGCTTTTGCCTGGCTGGAATGTGCCATTGATCTATGATAATGCCACCTGCTTGCTGTGGTGGAGAATGGATACAGGCTGTTTGGAGGATTAGGGTACAGAAAACTCTCAGACCGTGGGCTGAAAAACATCCGCTCCCCTTGGTTTTCAGCCCTGTAGAATGCTTCTTGCTGGGAGTTCATCTTTTGCATACTTGCCAACATTCCTCAGATGAAAATCAGGACATTTTTCATACTCATCCAACTCACCCTCCTCGAAAGACCATTTGTGGTGTCCCCCCCCCCTTTTCAGAAGCAGGTCGGGTGCCTCCATTTCTAAACCAACAGGACTCAGGACACGCACCCTCCACTGCCCTGAGAAAACCCTTTAGCCCCAATCTGATTTTATTCTTTTGGTAGATTTACAAAAGGAAAAACACACACCGATAAACACATTTTAGATAGAGGCCACATCCTCTCCTCCAGCAGCTGCTACGGAGGGGCAAGCGCTGGCTCATACTTTTCCCCAAGCTCAGCAGCAGAGCATGCGTTGTGGGACTGTCACTGGAGAATTGGGACACTTGAAGAACATGCAGTTCTTCAAGATTAGCGTTCATTCTTGTTGCATTTTAGAATGGTATCATTATGAAATTTCAAACAGTAAGCAGTTTGATGCATTCCATTATAAAGGTAAAGGTACCCCTGCCCGTACGGGCCAGTCTTGACAGACTCTAGGGTTGTGCGCTCATCTCACTCTATAGGCCGGAGCCAGCGCTGTCCACAGACACTTCCGGGTCACGTGGCCAGCGTGTCAAGCTGCATCTGGCGAGCCAGCGCAGCACACGGAAACGCCATTTACCTTCCCGCTAGTATGCGGTCCCTATTTATCTACTTGCACCCGGGGGTGCTTTCGAACTGCTAGGTTGGCAAGCACTGGGACCGAGCAACTGGGAGCGCACCCCGCCGCGGGATTCGAACCACCGACCTTTCAGATCGGCAAAGTCCTAGGCGCTGAGGCTTTAAACCCACAGCGCCACACCGCGTCCCGCCTTCCATTATAGATAAGCCAAAAAATGTTATTTAGTAAGCCAATGAAACCCAGATTTAATCCTGCTTGCCCTTCCTTAACAGGTCGAAGAGCATTTTAGTGAGAATCCAAAATGGAGCTCCTCCCTTCTTTACAAGCCCCGCAGAGATTTTCACATCCAAGCTACCTTCTGAACGTAAATGCTGAGATGACTGGATTTGACACCTGCTGTTGGGTTATCAACACCACCCATGCCCCACCAACTCTTTGCTCTGCCATGTTCATAAGACGCAAAGTTCATGGGTTGCTTATCCTCCCTGTGTGTGCAATGCAAGCCTTTTTTAAAACACCCTTATTAACCATGGACATTTTGGTTCAGTAGACTTCCAGTCAGATTGGCCTATGCTGTGTCACAAAACTTGTGTTGCACACTTATGTTCTGCTTAATGTTTGTAGTAAATATGATTTTGTGTTAATTGTAGTGCTTTAGTTCAGCCTAGGAATTTAATTTTAAAATTTACTTCATTCTGTTCAGAAAAAAATTACCTACTGACATTGAAATCTGTATATTTTGTGTCAAGCCACTTCATTCCTTGTGTGTTTTATTGTGTCATCATGTGGTTCTAAGTGAAGGGCACTTTAAAAACAAAGATTTCAGTGATGGATGGTCAAAAAGGAGTAGTCAAATGCAGGTGCTTCTCCTCACTCTGATCAAGAGGCTCAGATTTTAACTGAGGGCCACAGGTATAGCAAGTCTACAGGTAACAAAATAGATTAAGTCTTTCCATGTGAAAAGGTAAAGGGACCCCTGACCGTTAAGTCCAATGATAAATTCCACTGGTTTTTTAAATTTGCATCAGGAATCTGATTAAGAACATTGTCCCCAGATTTATCTATATTCTGAGAGGCCTTCCTATTTTGATATCCAGATCATATTTCCAAAAGATAAACTCCCTGTTTAGGAAATGTCTTTGGGTCTTTGGATGATTTTACATAAATACAAAGCACCTTTGGTAGGTTGGGCAGCATTAGGATCAAGATATTTGAAAGTTCAAACAACTCTTGAAACAGTTAAGCCTGTTAGAAAGATATGGAATATATTAGCCAATAAAAATAAATTTCATTCACTTTCAGATGCAAAACTTCCTCTGTGGAGAAATTCTATTTTAAAAATTGGGGGGAGGGAGGTGATGGTAATATGGAAAAACTGGATGGGAGAAAGCACTGTTTTGCTTTCTTTGAATAAAGAGTGAACTTCTCACTTCCCTCCACAACATGTACAGAAACAGTCTTCTTGACTGTTGGACCCAGTATTGGTCCAATCCATTTAATTAACTAAACTAATGTCCTAGTGGTGGATTTCTTACATGAATAGCAAAAAATTGGTAAGCGGTACTCGAAGGACTGAAAATCTGATGTAACTTTTCAATGCTCTCTTGCAAGTTGTAATCCACTAATCCAGAAGGATTTCAAAATGCTACTCTTTCTACCTTGCATCATTAAGTGCAATTGAATGTTGCAGTTT